CCAGCACTCGCGCGACCGCGAGGTCAAGTTCAAGGGTCCTTCAACGTGCTCAAGGAAAGCCTGGATGCGCTGGTGGGCCACGCTCTCTCCGAGGATGGGTCGTTGGCCCTGCGGCATGCAGCCGCGGGCGTGGGCGCGGGCATTGACCCGCCCAGCAGGGGGGGCGCCGCCTGCCGCGAAGGCAGTCGCAAAGGAGGTTGGGCGCCCGATGGCGGTGGCGGAGGCATCGGGGCCGCCCCGCGTGCCTCCGCCGCCTGCCGAGGACGACGCTGCCGACTCTGGGACGACGGCGACGCCGCGCTCCGAGGCCTCAGCGGACCGCGGTCTCGCGTCGGAGGAGCCCAACGCTCGGGGCGCAATGCTGGTGGAGGACGTCGCCGACGCCCAATCCTTCATAAGGATGGGCTACCCCCAAAAGACGCCAAAGAGAATGGCGAGGTACTACGGCGCAGTGCGGCACGAGACCCTGCGGGCGCACATGAAGGGTGCCCTCGGAGCCATCCTCGAGAGGAAGAGCGGCATGATCCGCGCGGCGGGCTGCGCGAAGGGCACGGGGGCCTGGCCCGAGAGGCTGGGTGCAGCTGCAGAGGGGCGCCGCGCGGTGAGAGCTGAGATCGAAGAGTGGGGCGCTGTGTGCACGGCCGAGGAGGGCAAGAGGGGCCTGCTCGAGGCGCGCGACAGCGCGGCCGCGCACTCGGGCAACCAGCGGGCCTTCAAGGAGGGGGCGGGCGGCGTCGCCGCTGCGCAGGACGCCCACCGCAAGATGGGCGATTACTCCGACCAGCTCTTCCCAGACGACCAGTTCACGATGAACATGTGCTGCGAGTGTCAGGCAATCAAGACCCGGGATAACCCTCGCGGCTGCAGGGCAGTCATCCGCGCGGACCGCTGGACGCAGCCCCTGACCTTCGAGGAAGAGGCGGCAGGGCGCTGCGGTCAGCGCTGGCGCTGCCACTGCGGGGCCCCATGCCAGACGACCTACGGCGCGCGCATCGAGATCTTCGACCGCGAAGCCAAGCTACGGAAGATGCGGCACTTGCAGGCCGACTTCCCCGAGGAGTACACCAGGGATGGAAGACCCGTATGCGCGCGGACAAGCTCAAGAAGGAGAACATCGTGGCGTTCAATCCCGCGGGCCTCCTGCAGTACCTGCCCGAGGTTGGGCCCCTGGCGGTCGGCGCGGCGTTCGAGATGCATGCGCCTGTGGAAAAGCAGTGGGAAGGGGCGCTGGGCGCTGATGGGCGACCCCTCGTGTGGGGCGCCCTGCCCGGGTTTAACTAGGGCGACCTCTATGCGCAGGTGGCGCGGGGATTGAGCGACCTTGAATGGGCGGGCTACAGCAAGAAGACCAGGAACAAGCGCGAGCGCGAGAAGATTGCCGAGGCAAAGATCGCTGTGCTGAACTACGAGCAGCGCCACAAGTTGGCCGTCGGAAGCCACGCTGGCGGGGGAGGCGCAGGGGCCGCCCCGAGCGCCCCCCCCCCGCTGGCGGGCCGAAGGCGGACCTGATGATGGATGCTGCAAGGGGCGGCGGCGCCAATATGAGGGAAGAGGGCCCGCCGCCGCCGCCCGCACCTGCGGCGCCGACCGGCGCGGAGGTGCCGCCGCCGCCGCCTGCGGGCCCGCCGCCAGACATCGAGTCCGAGCTGTTTGGCCCCGCGGTGGAGGGCAGCGAGCGGGGCGGGACGGTCCGTGCGCCCCCATCTGGGGCCCTCCCAGGCCAGACCGAGTGGCTCCGAGGCCCCAGGGCTTCAACGCCCGATATGAGTGAGTTGCTGCCTGCCTGCTCAGGCTCGGCCCACCGCCTCAGCGCCGCGTCAACATTAATAATCACTATGGCGCGCCAGCTCGTGTCTAGCTGAGGCTCTACCGATGCGTCCCTTGTGTGCCCCCGCGCTACTCTGCGGTGCCAGCGCCGCCCCGGGGGCTGCGGTTTCTTGGCGTCGCGCCCGCGTTGCCCTCGATACTTCAGTTAAGTGACCAGCCATTTTGGCTTGCCCCATCCTGTATCTCGTTGTAGGCTCTTGCCACCTGGTGCCTCCGGAGCTACAGGGGTCGGGCGGTGCTGGGGTCGCCCCGCGCGCTGTCCTTCCCATAGTTTGGTGTGGGCCAGGTCTGTCTTGGTGCACCTTGCCTGTCACGCTGCAGCTCCGTCAGTCATTGGTTCGCGCTCCGCCTTGCCTTGCGCCGGGTAATGAGGCAGCCGCAGGACGCTCGCCCCAACGTGGTTGAGCCGTGGTGACGTGGCGCACGTGACCGCAAGTAGTAGTAGTAGTAGTAGTAGTAGTAGTAGTAGTAGTCGTAGTAGTCGTAGTAGTCGTAGTAGTCGTAGTAGTAGCAGGTAGTAGCAGGTAGTAGTAGCAGGTAGTAGTAGTAGTAGTAGTAGTAGTAGTAGTAGTAGTAGTAGTCGTAGTAGTAGTAGTAGCAGGTAGTAGTAGAAGTAGTAGTAGTAGTAGTAGTAGTAGTAGTGGTAGTAGTAGTAGTAGTAGTAGTAGTAGTAGTAGTCGTAGTCGTAGTCGTAGTCGTAGTAGTAGTAGTAGTAGTAGTAGTAGTAGTAGTAGTAGTAGTAGTAGTAGAAGCAGCCGCAGTAGAAGTAGCAGCAGCAGCAGCAGCAGCAGCAGCAGTAGTAGTAGTGGTAGTAGTAGTAGTAGTAGTTGTTGTTGTAGTAGTTGTAGTAGTTGCAGCAGTAGCGGTAGTAGTAGTCGTCGTAGTCATCGCCGTCGTCGTCGTAGTAGTAGTGGTATTAGTAGTTTGGGCAGTAGTAGTAGTAGTAGTAGTAGTAGTAGTAGCAGTAGTAGTAGTAGTAGTAGGAGTTGTCGCAGTAGTACTAGTAGCATTAGCAGTAGTAGTAGCAGTAGTAGCAGTCGTAGTAGTAGTGGTAGTAGTAGTAGTAGTATTAGTAGTAGTAGTAGTAGTAGTAGTTGACATGATCGCAATAGTAGCAGTAGTAGTAGGAGCATTAGTAGTAGTAGTAGTAGTAATAGTAGTAGTAGTAGTAGTAGTAGTAGTAGTAGTAGTAGTAGTGCGAGTAGTAGCAGCAGCAGTGGTAATGACAATTGGTGTAGCCGTAGTAGTAGTAGGAGTAGTAGTAGTAGTAGTAGTAGTAGTAGTAGGAGTAGTAGTAGTAGTAGTAGTAGTCGTAGTAGTAGTAGTAACAGTAGCAGTAGCAGTAGGAGTAGAAGTAGGTGTAGTAATAGCAGTAATAGAAGTAGTAGTAGCGGTCGTAGTAGTAGTAGTAGTAGTAGTAGCAATAGTAGCAGTAGTAGTAGTAGTAGTAGTAGTAGTAGAAGTAGTAGTAGTAGTAGTAGTAGTAGTAGTAGTAGAGTAGTAGTGGTGGTGGTAGAAGTAGGAGGTGGACTAGAAGCACTAGTAGTAGTCGTAGTAGTCGTCGTAGTAGTGGTTCGAATAGTAGTAGCAGCAGTAGTAGTAGTAGTAGTAATAGTAGTAGTAGTAATAGTAGTAGTAGTAGTAGTAGAAGTAGTAGCAGTATAAGTAGTAGCAGTAGCAGTAGTACTAGTAGTAGTAGCAGTAGTAGCAGGAGGAGGCATAGTAGAGTAGTAGTAGTAGTAGTAGTAGTAGTAGTAGCAGTAGTAGTAGTAGTAGTAGCAGTAATAGTAGTAGTGGTAGTAGTAGTAGTAGTAGTAGTAGTAGTGGTAGTAGTGGTAGTAGTAGTAGTAGTAGTAGTAGTGGTCGTATTAGTAGTCGTAGCCGTAGCCGTAGCCGTAGTAGTACTAGAACTAGTAGAGGTAGAAGTGGTAGTAGTAGTAGTAGTAGTAGTAGCAGTAGTAGTGGTAGTCGTAATAGTAGTAGTAGTAGTAGTAGTCGTAGTAGTAGTAGTAGTAGTCGTCGTAGGAGTCGTAGTAGTAGTCGTAGCAGTAGTAGTAGTAGTAGTCGTCGTCGTCGTAGTAGTAGTAGTAGTAGTAGTCGTAGTAGTAGTAGTAGTAGTAGTAGTAGTAATAGTAGTAGTAGTAGTAGTAGTAGTAGTAGTAGTAGTAGTAGTAGTAGTGGTGGGGGTAGTGGTGGTAGTGGTAGTAGTCGTGGTAGTCGTAGCAGCAGTAGTAGTAGTAGTAGTAGTAGTAGTACTAGTAGTAGTAGTAGTAGTAGTAGTAGTAGTAGTAGTAGTAGTAGTAGGGGTAGGCGTAGGAGTAATCGGAGTAGTAGCATTAGTAACATTAGTAGTAGTAGTAGTAGTAGTAGTAGTAGTAGTAGTAGTAGTAGTAGTAGTAGTAGTAGTAGTAGTAGTAGTAGTAGTAGTAGTAGTAGTAGTAGTAGTAGTAGTAGTAGTAGTAGTAGTAGTAGTAGTAGTCGCCGTCGTAGTAGTAGTAGTAGTAGCAGCAGCAGTAGTAGTAGTAGCCGCAGTAGAAGTAGCAGCAGTAGTCGTAGTAATAGTAGTAGTAGTAGTCGTAGTGGTAGTTTTTGTTGTAGTAGTAGTCGTACTAGTAGTAGTAGTACTAGTAGTAGTAGTAGTGGTAGTAGTAGTAGTAGTAGTAGTAGTAGTAGTAGTAGTAGTACGTAGTAGTAGTAGTAGTAGTCGTAGTAGTAGCAGTAGTAGTAGTAGTAGTAGTAGTAGTAGTAGTAGTAGTAGTAGTAGTAGTAGTAGTAGTAGTAGTAGTAGTAGTAGTAGTAGTAGTAGTAGTAGTAGTAGTAGTAGTAGTAGTAGTAGTAGTAGTAGTAGTAGTAGTAGTAGTAGTAGTAGTAGTAGTAGTAGTAGTAGTAGTAGTAGTAGTAGTAGTAGTAGTAGTAGTAGTAGTAGTAGTAGTAGTAGTAGTAGTAGTAGTAGTAGTAGTAGTAGTAGTAGTAGTAGTAGCAGTAGTAGTAGTAGTAGTAGTAGTAGTAGTAGTAGTAGTAGTAGTAGTAGTAGTAGTAGTAGTAGTAGTAGTAGTAGTAGTAGTAATTAGCGTCGTATCCGTCATAGTCGTAGTGCGTTGTGGTAGCAGTACTGCTTGCAGAAGTAGCAGCAACATCAGTAGTAGTGGGCGGCCGCGCAGCGTGCGGCGCAGGTGGAAGCCAGCGCCGCAGAGGCTTACGGCAATGCCGCAAGATCCTCCGAGGACCGCCTTAGGTTGGCCGCGGATCGACTCCAGCAGCGCCAGGAAACCGCGGAGGCTCTCTCGGTTGATTTGGTCACGCTGCGCGAGCAACTGCGGGAGCGCGAGGCTACGTCCTCTGCCCTGCAGCTGGAAGTCGCGCAACTGCAGGCCGAGGTTGCTGCTGCACGTGCGGCGGTGTTGGCCCAGGCCTTAGTATATCCATCTGTGGACGATGGCTTCTGTTTTTCAAATGTCACTCCCGCCCCTGATGTTATTAGTGTTGTTTTTGTTCATTGCTTCTATTCACTTGCCTTGCCCCATTACCACCATCAACCTCATCAGCGGCATCGCCACCGTCGTCGTCCTCATCGGCGCCATGCGGGACCGAATGCCGGATGTGGGCCCGCCGACACGGTGAGGCAAGGGGAGTTGCACCTGACCGTTCGCGTCGGGCTGGCGAGCTGGCCACCGCGCGAGCACTCCTTCCTTTCGTCTCTCGTTGTCCTCTCCTCCTTGCCAGGCGTTTCTTGCACTGCAGGTTGAGCTTCTTGTTTGTGAGGTCATTCTCACCCTCATCATCGCCACCATCATCACTGTGACCGTTGCCGTCATCGCCTTCCCGGCGCTAAAATATTGACGCTTCGCGCATCCCCATTGAACAACAATTATTCGATTAGAGACCTCTGGGGCCCTCTTGGAGGCGTCATGGAGCGACCCTGGAGCTCTCGTGGGGCCCTTTGGGGGGCATCTGATGCGCTCTTGGGACACTCTTGGAGACTTTGGGAGCCCTCTTGGGGCCATCTTGAAGGACACCCACCAAGAAAAGGAGAGGCGTTGATTTGCCGACCCCCGTCAGAGCCCGAAATGTCAGCTTTTGGGGGCCTCTTGAAGCGCTCGTGCGGCCGTCCTTGAGCTTTGATGGAGCCGTCTTCGAGCCTTCCTGGGCGATCTTGAAAACAGATTGGGGCCACAGCACTCGTAGAACCATCTCGGGCCATCTTGGACTTTTCTCGAGAAATCCAGGTCACGACCTCAGGGGCGGGACTTCACCTAACAAGGCGGGCGAAGCCCTCCAGTCAGCCACGGGCGAGGACACAGGCGTGCCCGTCTTTCCGAGACGGCTGAAGACGATCAGGCAAGACGAGACGACACCAAACAAGGAAGGACCAGACGAGATAAGTCATGCAAGGACATTCTCCAGGTCGGCCCAGGATGACTCCGAGACGCCCAAAGACAGCCCCAAAGAAGCCAGAGACCTTCAAACAGTGCAGGAACTACATGCTGATATGTGTGTGTGGCTGTGAATGTCTGTCTGTATGTCTCTGTGTGTGGCATGTGTGTGTGCGTGCGTGCGTGTGTGTGTGTGTGTGTGTGTGTGTGTGCGTGCGTGCGTGCGTGCGTGCGTGCGTTCGTGCGTGCGTGCGTGCGTGTGTTGAGTGTGTGCTGTGTTTGCGCTGTGTGTGGTGTGTGTGTGTGTTTGCGTTGTGTGTGGTGTGTGTGTGTGTTATGTCGTGTGTCGCATGTGTCGCGTGTGCTGTGTATGTGTTCTACTGACTCCGCGTCGCCGTTGCGCGCCAGGCCGCTACCACCAACAAGTGTGTGTGTATGTGTGTGTGTGTGTGCGGTGTTTGCGTGTGTGTTGTTTGTATGTTTGTGTGTGTTTGTGTGTGTGCTTGTGTGTGTTGTGTTTGTATGTGTTTGTTTGTGTGTGTGTTTGTGTGTGTGTTGCGTGCGTGCGCGTGCGTTCGTGCGGGTGGGTGTGTGCGTGTGTGCGTGTGTCCGTGTGTCCGTGTGTGCGTGCGTGCGTGCGTGCGTGCGTGCGTATGTGCGTATGTGCGTATGTGTGTGTGTGTGTGTGGGTGGGGGGGAGGTTGTGTATGTATATATGTGTGTGTGTTTGTGCGTGCGTGCGTGCGTGCGTGCGTGCGTGCGTGCGTGTGCGTGTGTGTGCGTGTGTGTGCGTGTGTGAAGAGCGCGCGGCCGTCCTTCTCCCGACGAGCGAAGGCTCCCCCAAGCCTGGGAGGACGCTGAGTTCCTGCCCCGCGGCTCCCAAGTACGCCGCGTCTTCCTGGACCGCAGCCCTCCGACCCGCGATCCGGGCACCGAGCGACGCGGCTCACGCAGTTGGAGCCCCTCCGCGAAAGGCCGCGGGTCCAGCAGCTCGTCTGACCCGCCTCTCAGCGGCGGGCAGCCCCGCTCGCCCCCCCGCGACCGGTCCACTGGGGAAGCAGCCCCCGCCGCCCCCCCGTTGTGGCGATGACGGCGGGCCACCCGACCCGCGCGTCCCGAGGACGCCGCCGCGCCGGCCCGCCTCAGCGGGGGGCAGCCTGAGTGAAAGGCCAGCGGTCAATTTTTCTAGGCAGCCCGGCCAGGGCCCCTATTGCAGCCAAACGGACCACGCAGCCGACCTCCACCGCCTCCACCAGCGCAGCCTCTACGGCCTACCGCAGGATCAGGTCCTCGCCCTCGCTGGCGACCTCGGGGGCAAACTCTGCTGACTGTGCCTACCCCCTGGGCTGGACGACGGGGGCCGCCCCCACCGGCATTGCCTGGCAGAGCTCTGGATCGTGCTCAGGTTCCCCCCGCTGAACGCTGCTGGCTTGCCAGACGAGTGGAATGCTCCCCCCGCTGCCTTCGGCACCTCCGTCTCCACGGGTGGGCTTGGGGCAGGTCCCCAGCGCACCCGTGGCAGGCGGCCCTCGGCGGATAGCGACGCCGCCGCCGCGATGGAGCCTCACGGCCCAGGCGAGGCAGCCCTCGCGCCCGGAGCCTGCAGTCGCGACTTCTCCACCATGCCTGTCGGCGACTTCCGACTCCATTACCGGGGGCCCGCAACTTCGCTCGCGGCACCGACCAACGCCCCGAGAAGGAGGGAGGCGACCACGGCCGGCCAGCCCTCCTCGTGCGGCGCTTCTTCATCCACGATCTCCTATAGGCACACCTCCTCCTGAGGTCCTGCAACTGGCTGGCGCCCACACTGTCGACAGCTTCCTCCTCCCGCGTTTTCTGCAGCGCCTCTGGGCCATCGGTTGGCCTTTCCAGGACCCCGTGGCTGCGTCGCCGCAGCCTGGCGCCAGCAGCCACAGCTAAGCGGCGGCGGCCACAGCTTGCGCGACCGCACGCGGGCGGACTGGGCGGACGTGCCCGAGGAGCCAGCAGACGCCACTGTCAGTGACGGCCAGTCCCCCGCGGGCAGCCCCGCGAGTCTGGGGTCGGCGCCGTGGCGGGCAGCCCCGCGGCGCCCGCCCCCGATGCCACCAGCAGGTCCACGTCCATCCCACGCGCACGGGGGGCCGCGCCAAGCGCCGGCAGGCCTCCCGAAGGCACAGCTCGCCAGCCGCGGCCAGCGGTCGCAGCGCCTCATGCGATGTCAGCACCAACCCCCCAGGCGGATGGCCCCCCAGCGTCGCCGGCGACCCTGGAGGTGGTAGCGACCCCGACCCCCTGGCGCCGTCGGCCGGCCCTTTCGCCCATCTCGCACATACTCCCATCACCGCCTTCTCGTCGCGCGAAAGGGTGTTAGTTGCTCAGACCTTTGTGCAACTCGTCCTCTGGCATGCTCGCTTCTGGCGCCAATTTCCCTTCAAGATGAAGATCACGCACGCCGACACCGCGAGTTGCTCTGACGAACAGCTCGCCACCTTCCTTGGCCGCGCTTTCGGCCACCAAACGCGCAAAGGCATGGGCACCCAGGCCCCCGCGCCCCCGCTTCGGGGAGAGGAGGCACTGGCCCGGGAAGAGGAGAAGGAGGCCAAGAAGGCCAGAAGGCCAGAAGGCCAGAAGGCCAGGATGGAGGATGATGGAAGGAAGGCCAAGGCCAGAAGAGGGAGGAGAGCAACGGGGATGGCTACAGGGACGAGGAGACGGGAGGGACGAGGAACGTGGAGGCAGGAGAGAGGAGGTGCCAGGCGAGAAGAGGGAGGTGCAGGCGATTGGAGAGACGAGGGAGGAAGGGGGGAGGAGGAAGATAAGGAGGAGGAGGAGAAGGAGCTGGAGGAAGGGGGGCAGAAAGGAGGGAGATCATCCTGCCCCTCCTTCACCTGATCCACCTCCTCTTGCTCATCCTCCTCAACGTCCTCATCATCCTATGCATCCTCCCTCGTTTTTGTGGTCGCCTCGTACCCTCGTTCGTCGTCCCAATCTGTCCCTCGTCATGCTGCTCATCGCATTTCTTCCATTGGACATCACCTCATGTCGGAGCCCATCTCAACCAGTTTTCTGGTTACCTGTCCGCCTGTGGGCCACCTGCGTGGTGCCTGCTGCATGCGGGGCATGCATTGAATGGGAATGCATCACCTCGTGCTGGGGCCCACAATTCAAGTAAACCAACTGCTGGTTCTCAACAAGATGTCGGGTGACCCAACCGCCTGTGGGTCACCCGCGTGGTGCCCGTTTCATGCTGGAGCTGTTGGCTTGGAGTACATCACCGCATGTTGGGGCCCAAGATCGAAGTGACCCAACTGACTTTCCTCTGTCAGTTTTCGGTTGATCCACCCGCCTGTGGATCTCCTGCGTGATGAAAACACAGCGAATGGGAATACATCACTTCGTGTTCGTGGTTTTTGTCAACCAGGTTGCGGATGTTCAACCGGCGTGTGGGTCACCTGCGTGGTGCCTGCTCCAAGCAAGCGGGAAATGCGTCGAATGAGAATGCATCACCCCATGTTGGGACCCTTAATACAAGTAAACCAGTTGTTTGTTCTCAGCAAGCTTTCCGCTGGCCCGCACGCCTTTGGTTCGCCTGCACGGTGCCTGCCTCATGCGGGAACTGGATTGAATTGGGATGCGTCGGTCGGGCCTAGAATCCAAGTGCAGCATTGGGTTTTCTCAACCAGTTTTCGGGTGACCCACCCGCTTGGATGTCACTCGCATGGTGCCTGCTTCATGCGGGGATTCTGTGGAGTTTGAATATCTCACCTCATGCTGTGGCCTAGAACACAAGTGAAACAACTCGCTTTTCCTAGCCGTTTTTCGGGAGACCCACGCGCCTGTGGGCATCCTGCGTGTTGCCCGCTTCATGCGGGACATGGATTGAGTCGGAAGGTTTCGCCTTACGTTGAGGCCCAGGATGCAGCTGAAATGGTTGGATCGCCACCACGATTGATTGGGTGACCCACACGCCTGTGGGCCTCTTGCGTGGTGCGCGTTTCACGTTGGAAATCTCATCGGGTGGGAATACCTGACCTCACGTCGGGGCCCAG